AGACTATCACTCACCCACACCAGATGGAAAACTCTACAGACTGTCGGTTCACACCCCATTACAGTGTGCAAAATAATGATAACAACAACTTTTGTCTGGGAGTCATACCCGAATTCCAAACCAAGCTTGATTTAAAAATCCAAAACCTTGAAGAAAACTTAAATAAAATAATATAAAAATATATATTTTTTAAACAATTTTTAAATTATTATGATAATATTACCTTTTTTTTTAGTTTTTAATTTCTTACTCGAGTTTGATTGGGAATTTGGGGATGACTCCCAGAAAAAAGTTGTTCGTATCATGTTTTTTCATAACATATATTTGTTACAGAAGTTTGTTTTTTCCTATTTTTTTTATTTTTTATTTTTATTTATTTGTTTTTTGTGTCTTTGATTTTTAACTCGAGTTTGGTAAAACATTTTGCAATGAGTCCCATGCAAAAGTTGTTTGAAATGTCATTTTACATAACAATTTTGTTTTTTAGATTTTTCCGATGTTTTTTTTTTTTTTTTTTTTTTTACGTATTCCCACATACGGGAGTATGTGTACGCTCGTACTTGTCGCGTACAGGAATACGTGTACGCGTGTACACGCAACCCGCGTACACGTACGCCGTGCTACCCATGTTTTAACCGTTTTAGAATTCTCATAATCTTTAGCGTTTCAACTCCCCCCTTTTAAAAAAACAAAACAGGGGGGACGCGGCTGGAGGAAGGGAGTGGGGGGTCAAAATCGTCAACGTTTTCACCACTTCATCATTTCTACACACTCAAACAGGAGGGTAAACACTAAGCATTTTGAATATTTATTCAACGTATGGGCATTCAGCATTTTCAGCACTTGTGAAATCGTTGAAACACAGTTTCAGAGAATGTCAAAAATACTAGAAGATTCTTCTCTTCAGAATGAGTTTCAGGAAAATTCAAAGTTTCGTTGACCATGTGTGGATGGACCTTTGTATATCATCCGCATCCATGGGCACCTACGCACACACCATATTTTCCATGCCTCCAAACTCGCTCCTTTTGTTGAAACAGACCGATTCCCTTCAAGGAGATTCATCTTGCCCCCAAACATGCATGAACATGTCGACATCAATGATTTATCGAGCACAAGTGATGCCTATCCCAAAGCCTTCAGGAACAGGTTGACCTCCTAAGACACATGCAATGTCGAGTGTGGTTCAGACATCATGTTAATCCTAAGGAAGACCGCTGGTTCACAAGGGAAGAGTTGATGAAGATTGCTCCTTAAGTTGTCGCAGGTTATAAAAAAGGATTGAAAGAGAAGCAGCTTGCTGATTACCGACGTCTTAGAGGACTATCGAAGCAAGGGAGGAGTGAGTGTGAGGATCCTCGTCCTCAACAAACGTTAATGGGGGCCCGCTGCAAGCCTTGGCCCGCCCTAAGTGAAGGTGTGCCCTCACATCTCATTGAGCCCTAAATTTTGCAGTTCCGTGGCCCTCTGAGGCGCCAAACAGTTATCACGCGCCAGTTGGTTACATGTGCCCTGCTCGCGAGCAACTAAGTTTTCCCTCAGCCTTCTAGGCTCTTTTGGACAGGACATGTGAACATGACATTAAGCCTATCACAATGCAGAGTACAACTCAGGCCACTTCGGGTAGTTGGGAACCCTTAACTGTGTCAGTCCCACTGTCTCAATCGGACCTGGGCGCAACAGTTTGTCCCAACTTGAAGCTACTGGGCACACAAGCGTCCCAGTCCAGGCAGCCTTTGGGCCAGGCCACTTTCTGTATAGGCTATGTGTCCCCCTCGGAGGCCAGCCGCGGGCCCATGGCCGCGCCAGGGCCAGGCGGGGACGCGCGCAGAAAAACGATGTGCGCACCCCACCTGCGCACGTCGGCCACTACCACCCTGCAAAAAAAAAAAAAAAAAAAAAAAAAAAAAAAAAAAAAAAAAAAAAAAATTTGGGGGGGAGGGGGGGGGGTGTTGGGTGAGTGACAAAAAGAATTTAAAAATTTGAAAAAAATATATATACTGATTGATTGATTGTTTTTTTTATTGATTGATTGATTGATTGATTGATTGATTGATTGATTGGTGGGGGAGGGGTCCTCCCTCCCCTCCGCTCGGCACACACACACACACACACACACACACACACACAGACTTCGCGGAACGCATGTACCAATGGCCCTAGCTTGGTTGGCACACCAATGGCCCTAGCTCTCTCTCTCTCCTCTCTCTCCGCTCTCTCTCTCTCTCTCTCTCTCTCTCACACACACACACACACACACACACACACACACACACAATCAATCAATCAATCAATCAATCAATCAATCAAACCAATCAAGATCTTATCGAATTTCGTTTTTCATATTTTTTTAAATCTTAAACGAAGTTGGATTCCAAAATAAAAAATATAGGATCGTAGGACAGAAAAAGAAGAAGGATGTTATGATCCTGGCTATCTTGATGTAAAATGGCTCAAAGAAAGATGAGGCCATTCAATTGCAACTGAAGTAAAAGAACTTGGAATTTCAAAGACAAATAGACAAAGGACGAAGGAGAAATAAGGATGGAAGAAACAGAAGAAGAAGATGTAAACCAGCGAAGACCAATGTCAAATCCCTCCCCCACCCGCCACCATCTCCAACCTCCTTGAACTCCCCAAACTTCTTCTTTACAATAATAATAATAATAATAATAATAATAATAATAATAATAATAATAACGATAATGATAACAATGGACGGAAGAACCAGAACCAATGTCCGAGTCTCCTCCTTACTGCCAGTAACTCGTGAGGTCCACCATAGCCATCTCATACACCTTCCCCCTACTTGGCTAAGTAGATGGCTGTGGCGGACTAGCGGAGCCCTGCTCCAATGTTCAAAGGACAACACAAAGACCATGTCTCCGTCCTACAATGGTCACCATGCCCAACACTACCCTGAAGTCTTCCTTGATGAAGCCACCCCCCCCATGGGGCCTTCCAGGTGCAGCACCAACCAAGACAATGAAGAGGCAGACAAACATAGCCAGGTAAGCACCCCCGTCACTCTCCTCCTTGCCCGTCGCCTTCCTCCCCCTACTACTACTCCCCGGAGTCTTCCTTCCTGGTCCGCTCCACCATAGCTGAAGTGGAGGGGCAAGGCAGCATTGTTCCTCCCCAACGGTGGAACACCAAGTGCTCGCTCAAGCAGCGTGTCGCAAAACTTGCACACCTCAAAGTGAGGAAGATCTCGCTCTTCCCAAAGATATACCGGACTGCTGCCTCCTTTGAGGATGACTTTCCAGGCCGCTCGGCCTCCCAAGCTTCTGGCAACTTCCTCCTTTCAGAGGGAAACATTATAATTGCAGTCTGATATCCGTCACTGCAGGCCGTAGACACAGACTACTGGACCTATMCCCCYCCAGCCTAAAGCCTACTGGACTCTAACATTCCTCCCGCCTCTAGAGGTACAAATTTTTAGTCGTCTTCTGTCTACCTACCCTCTACTTTGAGTGTTCTTCCTACCTATGCAGGCCTGGCCTACTCCCAGCTCCCTCTGCAATCCCACAAATCACGGCCGCAGGGTAAGTATCAGGCCCAAGGGCCTCTGCAACACACAAGTACCCTGGTGGGTTACACACAAACCCAAGCAATCATGCAATCAGACAAACACACGGGAACTCAGCAATCACGCACACACATGTACACAGAAATCTCAGCAGAATGCATGAATCTCACCAGGTCACATGCAATCAGACTGCTCTCCAAACTTGCTTGCAACATGCATACATGTACGAACTGATGGCAAACCTCCTCAACTCAGATTCAACAATGAACTTACACTGGCGATTAGCGCCCACAAAGGAAACTCAGAGATATGGCTTCCAGCCAAAAACTCAGCTCAAGTCAACTGTACAACTTGCGACTATGGCCGCCGAACAGTCTCCACCACCAGCCTCACTCTCCCTCTCATGCACGCACGTACGAGGATCCACCCTGAATGTCCACTGTACGCACACACGGTGTACACTAAGTTGACGTCAACAGCTTGGCGGCTATGGCCGCCTTTGTCTTCCTCCTCCTAGCTATGGCTGTCGTCGTCTCCCTCAGCCAGCTGTGGTCGTCGTCACCAACCTCTGCCCATTTCAGCTACGGGCACATGCAAACCTCTGCACAAGTCACTGCAGCAGCACTTCCGCATGGCTCACACGCAAATGAATGAATAACTGACGCTGCCTCTTTATTTATACTGCTCCGCAGGTGGCCTCGCCCGGCCCCAAAACGTGTGGGCCTGGGTCCCAAACCACGTGGGCCTGGGCCGCAAACCGCATGAGAGCCTGGGCCGCCAAACCATGTGAGGCCAGGAAGCCTCCAGAACGCGTGGGCCTGCTGCGCCAAAACGCATGGAACCCGTGGCCCTACCTGGTACTTGCTGACTGGACAGGGACAGACAGACCTACAGCCCACTAGACCCTACCGACACTACCTACGGACTAGACTGAGCCTAACTAAGCCTAACAGTAACATACCATCCAGAAGAACCCTAACTAAGCCTAACGGTAACATACTATCCTGCTAATACGAAGATCTGTGGATCAAGTCCTAACAGCTAACAAACAGACCTGCTAACTAACCTACGGGCTTAGGGACAGGTCACGGGTTCAAATCTCACTCAGAACATATGGTCAATGTACAGGGTTTAGGTGTAGGTCTAGGGATCGAATCTCGATGTCTGCACTCGTGGGTCAAACTGCAGTGGGTGAAACCGTTTCACCACACAACCCAGCGGCAAAACTGAGAAAACAGCAGTTTTCTCAGTCTGCGATTTTGCAGGTCATTACGGAGAACTTGAGCTGTTGCAGCTAAGAAAAATGCTTAGTAGATGTTCGTCGGTATACCAAGCTGATGTGATCTTCACCCCTCTATGTGGGTGGCATAAGACTGGAAGTATTTAGTGCCCAAGCCTTTTGCGAGCTCTCGCTAGCAGCAATATTCATGGCACTGTGTGTAATGGACCCATGTGGGAAGAGTCCTAAACCTGTAGGCCCATGGTTCGTGCCACTTCTGCTCCATCACTTTCTTCATGAGGAATGGACAAGGTTCCGAACTTGCGCCGGCAGCAACCCAAGCACCATGCTTTGGCCACTCCTCTGCAGGAGCACTAATCACAGAGTACGCAGGGATACCGCCAATTCCAGCTGCGACTTGGCCAAACGAGCTTGAAAAAGTGACTATCAGGTGATCACAAGAGGCAAGCAGGAACAGGTCTGTGTGTGCAGATTCCTCTGTTCCTGGATTGCCAAATGTACGATGCTTCTCCAGCGAGTCTCCCGGTAGGAAATATATGTGCTTTCTTTCCTTCGTCTTGCCTGTCGAAACGGTCAGCTGCGCAATTATTTCTGCCCGGCTGCGTTCACTGTCACATGCAATAAAGAAGCCCACATCACGATCCGGTAAGCCCAATCTTAGCCGCAGGGTCTCTGCAAAGGACCCATAGACAATGCTCAGCGGCACCTGGCGTGCAGGAAAGTGTTTGAAGAAGCGCACATGGATGCCAATCATCTGTTTGTGCTTCCTAAAGTTCGTCTTCTTGAACTTGTCCACTGCAGATCTCATGGCCTTGCTAGGCACCAGTATTTTGGTTGCAAAGTCACGGAACGGCTCTAATGACGGAAACAAATCGCGCAGAATGTCAGAATAAAAGGCGTTCCCCAGTAGATAGGGAAGAGGGTAGTCTTGGCACCAAAGGTAGATAACATGCTTGCCTTCCCAGACTTGAGAAAGGTTGCTGGATGCAAGGAGTGCAGGCAAGCCCCAATCGCACTGGACGATAAGTGACGTACCTTCCGCGGTGAACCGTGGATCAGCTGCAAACTGTTTGGCATACGTGTTGAAGTGAATGTTGGGTAGACCATCAGGATCATAAAAGCGGTAAAAGTCTGGGTATGTCGTCAACACGATGCGGTCTGTCAGAAAACCGATCAGGAAGCTGGATATCAGTGCTGTTAGCCGGTTTCCTACGCCCCATGGTCCCGACTGGTGAACAATGAACTGGGCATTCGAGAAGTTACGAGAGGTCAGAATTGCCGAAGTGCGAGCAGTGTAATTCTTGTACAAGGACTCGAAGACCGGGGAGGGGGAGTGGCCAAAGGGGGTGGTGGGCCAGGTTGCCGGCGAGAACACCACTGACATACCATAATTGCCTCCTTCGGTGCTGTTCCTCACTGTACCCTTGCACTTTTTTTTTTTTTTTTTTTTTTTT